AGAAGAGAGAAGAGGAAAAGAGAGGGGAGGGGAGGGGATGAAGTGGAGACAGAATTGCAGGCCCGGCACAGCACAGCACACTCAGCTGTGGCTCAGCGGCCAGAGATCTGGGGTGTGAGGAGGAAGGGGCAGTGAGACCCGAGTGCGAGGCAGGGGCAGTTCTAGAAGTGTCTCACAGGCCAGGTCGAGCTCGGCCTCTGCCCCCTGAACACAGGTGGCAGCCGCACCTTCAAGCCCACGCCTGGACCCTCACCGTGGTCTCCCTGGGGCGGGGGTGGGGAGACCTGCAGCCCCCCTGCACTCACCGACGGCGCCCGCAGCAGCCCCTGCCCGGCCTCAGGGCCATCTTGGTGCTGGAATACTCACTCCCGTCCGAGGGCGGCCACATCGCTCCTGACCCCCACCACACACACACTAAGCACCTGAGGCAGGTGGGGAAGGCCCCCCCCCACGGGCCCTGCAGCGCCCCCGCTCTGCCCTCTTGGGGAAGTCGTTTTCCTCCCCGAGCCTCGGTTTCCTGACCTGTACGATGGGGATGCAGCAGCACCCATCTCCACGCCCCGAGGAGAGTGCGGGTCACGGGTGCACAACCGTGCGCGGGTGCCCACCGGCCCTAACACCCCCCATTTAAACGGCGTGCGGACCCCAGTGGGATCGGCAATGCATGCGCAGAGCACTGCCTCCTCAGCTCCCTTTCACCCGCCCGGCCTTCCCGACCTCGGGAGCAGGCTGGCCCCGGCACCAGCAACGAGGGAGCCACGCCCTCCTGCGGCTCCCTGGGGTCCGTCTGCGTCTGGGCTCACCCGGGAGGGGCCATCCCGAAGTCGGGCAGCCAGACAGCGTCCGGGCAGGGATTCCGGCTCTGGTCTCTGTCACCTCCGGGCGGCCTCACCACCTTTAGTGCCAGGGATTAAAACGTCTCTTCCTCAGCCAGGGTCCTGCACACGCCCACTGCCCGTTAACCTGCCAGCGTCTTTAGCCCCGGAAGCCGACTGGGTGAGAGAACAGAGAGAGGCGTGCTCCCCATTGGCCGAGCCAGCCCGTGTTCTGTCTCTGAGGAGCCGCAGGGTTCTCCCTGGAGGAGGCGGCTGCGTATAGAGACACAGAGACGAGGAAGGCGCGGGCGTGCGCTCGCGGGAGGAAAACCACGCGCCCCTGTGGAAGGCAGAAAGACCCTCAGTCCTGCAACAGCAGAAGCCGACAGCGGCTCCCTTCCAGCCTGGCCCACGCCGCGCTAGCTACGGCCTCCATCCAGCAGCCTGTGCGTGGGGACACAGGTACCCACATCAGGGGCCTGCCGTGGGCCCTGCGAGGAACACCCGGGAAGAACTCAGGGCAGATCCACACGGGGAGCACGAGCGTGGTCACATCAGTGTCTACCAGCGAGCACAAGCGCCAAGCACCGCCCTGGACGGTTTCCAAAGCAAGGACTGAGTCTCCCGCTGTAGAGCAACTAGGAGACGGGACAGACAGGGCGGTGATAAAGGACACAGAGGCGACACAGGACAGGTGACACAGGACACAGCAGTGACACAGCAGTGACACAGGACAGGTGACACAGGACACAGCAGTGACACAGAAGTGACACAGGACACGGAGGTGACACAGGACATGGAGGTGATACAGGACACGGCAGTGACACAGGACACAGAGGTGACACAGGACAGAGGTGACATAGGACATGGTGATGACACAGGGCACAGAGGTGACACAGACACGGAGGTGACACAGACACAGAGGTGACAGAGGTGACACAGGACATGGAGGTGACACAGGACATGGTGATGACACAGGACACAGAGGCGACACAGGACAGAGGTGACACAGGACACGGAGGTGACACAGGACATGGAGGTGACACAGACACGGAGGTGACACACAGAGGTGACACAGGACATGGAGGTGACACAGGACATGGTGATGACACAGGACAGAGGCAACACAGGACAGAGGTGACACAGGACACGGAGGTGACACAGACACAGAGGTGACACAGGACATGGCAGTGATGAAGGACAAAGGAGGTGAGACAGGACATGGTGATGACACAGGACATGGAGGTAACACAGGACATGGTGATGATATAGGACATGGAGGTGGCACAGGACTTGGAGGTGACAGGACACAGAGGTGACACAGGACATGGAGGTGACACAGCACTCAGGACACAGCGGCGACACTCAGGCCCTGGGCAACAGGCAGTGCAGGACTGTGGTCCTGGAGCATGGGCACCACCAGGGACAGCACGAAGCCTGCCCTGCAGTCACCCTGAGCAGGGAAAGGGGGCGGCAGCAGCGTTAGCTGAGCACTTACTGTGTGCCTGGCATAGGCCGAGCACTTCATACAGGTTATCTGCCGTATCTTCATTATATAAAAGGAATCTTAAGAGGCCTATAACCTGTGGCCAATGCAACTCTGAGCCCATGCTGGTGACCACCGGGCCACACCCACTGCCCACACAGGCCTGGATCTCGCTCTCTCCATGTGCAGTCCCTAGCCGGGGGTCCAGGGGTGGTCCTGATCCCCAGGGGGCAGCACTGCAGGACAACGGGTGGTCCCGGTCCAGCCCAGAGCAGCACAAGGACAGACGTCACGGAGCCCAGCCTGGGGCAAAGTTGGCGCAGCTCCTGCTCCATATGGTGGGGCAGCCCCGGGCACCAGGAGCCAGCTGGGACACAGGGCAATCCAGCCTGTCTGTGCAGGGGCCGAGATCTTCCTGGAGTTCCAGGGCAGTTCCATCCCCCGGGGCAGCAGGCAGAGTAGAAAGCCCAGGTCAGGCCCCTGCAGCTCCTGAGGCCGGGACAGGAGGAGCCTCCGCCCCGGCTTTCGTCCCATGAAGCCTCACGTGTCTTTTCTCCTCCAGGCTGAGCCTGAGCACAGCAGAGCCGGGGACCCTGGCTTCCCCTGGGGCTGCCTTGAGCCCTAGGGGTGCAGCATGTGCAGAAGGCCAAGAGCAGGGAGCCGGCGCTCAGTATCAGCTCAGAAGACCGGCTTAGAGGATACTCCGGTAATTGCAAGGTATTTTTATATGTTAATTACAATTCTCTTAATTAGCTCCAAACTCATTGATCTGTAGATTGTATTGGGTTTATAAGAACGATTACCGTACAAGCATACAGGTTACAATGCGGGGTCAGGCTATTGACACGCCGGCACCCTCAGGACAGTGGCTGAGCTGGGCCTGTGCACGCCAAGGGCAGGAGGGGGCCCCATGGCTCTGGCAGCTGCACGTCCAGCCCACATAGGCCTGACAGAGGATGACTGGGCAGTGGGCCCAATCTGGGGCCAGCAGCCCGAGGAGCAAGCTCTGGGCTGGGCCTGGCCATCCCTGGGTGAGGACAGCCCAGGAGGCTCCCACCCTCAGCCCACAAGGAGATCAGGACACCCCACCACTAGTCCACCGAGACTCAAGGCTCTCTCCGTGTCCTAGGTGGTGTGGGAACCCATTCACCCTCTTTCCAGGGTGGCGAGAGGCGCAGAGGGCAGGGGACAGATGGCAGGACGGACGGGTGACAGACGGAGCAGGGGAGAGGGTGATGTGGGGTGTGGTGGGCCCCTGGGGTCTCAAAGGTCCTCCTGAGCCCCTCAAGAAAGCCAGGCAGAGCAGGCAGCCTGAGGCCCTCTGTACGGCCTGTGTGTGTCTCAGCGGTGAGGCCAGGCTGAGGGGGCGGCCTGCGGGTGGAGGGGGCCTGGGCTCCTCCTACGCCTGTGACCACCTTTGCTCTCCCAGCCGGGGATCTTGCTCCAGAGGTCACACCAGCCACGGGGCTCCGAGGCTGCAGTCCGGTCACCTTCCTGGCAGAAGCATGACCTTCACCTGGTGCCCCATTCTCCAGTGCCGCCTTGGGTGCCCAGGGCTCTGAGTCTCCAACTCTAGGACCCCCACCTGACCCTTGCCTCCCTCTACCACACTGGACTCAGCCCAAGGGCCCCAGCATTGCAGGGAGGGTAGGGAGGGAAAAGCAGGAGGGGTGGTAGGCCCTGCCTACCTCACCTCCTGTGTGCAGGGTAGGAGCCCTGGGGGGGGGTGCTTGGGTCGGCAGGAGGGTGCTGATGCTGCCAGGGACGGTGCCAGCAGCAACAGGCCCGGGGACACCCATTTCAGGGGCAGCAAAGCAGCTCTGACAGCCTCGTCTTACAGGCAGGTTAGGTGGAAATGGAGGCACTGAGAGGCCGACACCGGTGCCCAGAATGGAGGTCACACCATGGTGGAGCAGCCAGGCTGACTGCTCCAGGCCTGGACTGCAGGCTACCACCTGGACCACCTGCCCTGAGCGCGCACAGCCGGCCTCTGCCGAGTACCCGTGGACCTCACTCAGGGCCACAGGAGCGGGCGGGGTTGTGGTGAGTGGCTTGGCCATCTCAGGCTCTGCAGCGCCAGTTCCCCTCTCCACAGCCGCTCTGGGGGCTCCGGCTCCCGAACCTCCCCCGGGAAAGGGGCGCTCGCCTGTGTCCTCCGTGATCAGCCAGGGTGGGGAACGGCGTGGGGCAGTGTTCACACACTGGACACTGGACATGGGACAGGGAGGGGATGGCCCAGAGTCCCAAACACGCCTGGCCAGCCTCGGAGAGCCGCCCCCATGCCGCTGCACCCAGAGAACGTATCTCCCACCTCCCACCTCCCGCCCGTGCACATTTTTAGAATTTCAGGGAAAACAAAAGCAGACGCATGCACTTTGAACACAAGCAGGGTGGGGTGTGGGCGAGTCCTCTTCCTCGAGGCCACAGGAAGTGGTGGCCTTGTGAAGGGCAAGGGCGCCACAACCAGGCCTGGGTGGCCCCCAGCCCTGCAGCTGCCCAAGGGCAGAGGCCATGAGACGCAGCCTGGAGAGAGGGCAAGGCAGGACAGCCTCCCTTGGCAATGAGTGACTCTTCAGTCACCAGGGATGTTCCAGCCCCTCTGCGACCAGGAGCCCAGCCCCCAGGGCCCCTGAGATCTGACACCAACAGGAAGCCTGGCCCATCGGCCCCGCCTGCCCGGTCCAGGCATCTGGGCTGCTGAGCCCTGCTGGCTGCCAACGACCACACCAGGTGCTTCCCACACACAACTTCATCCTCACCACACCCAGCACAGTCTACAGGGCCCAGGGAAGCTGCAGGGGTCAGGGACCAGCTGGGCCTGGAGGGGCTCTGGTTCCTGAGACCACGCTCTTGACGGACAGCGCAGCCAGGCAGCCCCCGCCACAGCCAAGCAGCCCGACCCCATCCCCGCAGATGACGCCAGCCGGCTGTCTCGGGGATCCCAGATGCTGTACCCAGAGGGAGGGGTAAGTACAAACTTGTTTCATCTGTGACCTGTAGGTTTTTACAAACAAGACAAGAAGGGTTTTCAGAATCAGGCTCAGAAACAGATCCCTTCCCCTCCCTTCAACGTGAGAGATTAGCAGGTGAGACTCAGTCCGCGAACCTTCGTGGCCAGGACGCACGCACAGCTGGGAAATCGTCTAGGCGAATCTA